ACTCCTGCAACGGTTGGAGACACCTCGAATCGCGACATATCGAGTGGCACAAGGTTTGCAGCATCATCGCCAGACTACTAGCTTCTACAACGACGAACACGTCCTATGCTCTGCGAGGAGACTGCATTTAAGAGATATTATTCGTAAGAAGAGGTTAATGTACTTTGGGAAGATGTTTTTGCAGGCTCCTGTTGTCCTATGGCTTCTCCTTGACCAATTGGCTGGCGAACGTGGATCTTGGGTCTCACTGCTTCGTGATGACTTGGGGTGGCTTGATAGTTACAGCAAGGATAGAGCTCGCGCAGCTTGGACGGTGCAGCAGTGGTTCCAGTACGCCAAGCTGAACACGAAGAGCTTCTTGAATGAAGTCAAGACGGCATGGGAGTACCACGTGTACAGAGAACTGGAGAATGTCCAAATGCAGATGGCAGAAAGAAGTCTTAACGCTCAGCTGGCGCCGGCGGTCACTACGGACTTGGAGAAGAAATTTGTGTGCTATACTTGTGGATGGGTATGCTCGAAGGAGTCTGCCTGGCGCAAACACTTCTTGGATCACCAGCCGATTGATGGAGCCCAATTGGTAGCACGAGGCACGCAGTGTGGAGCGTGTGGCACAGTGTTTGGAGATCGCTCCAACCTGTTACGGCACCTGCGCAGACGAGGCAACAGGTGTATATCATGGCTGTTGGACAATGGGGGCCTTCTTTCCGCTGAGGAAGCGGAACTTCTACGGCAGGAGGATTTAATACGTGAGCGGAAGCAAGTTCAGCAAGGATACAACTACAGGGTGGTCAGACAGCGGGCTCGCTACGGAGATCCTCTTGGTGGCAAGGGTGACAGGCTGGTTCCTGTCAAAGCCCCTGAAGTATGGTTACCAGTACGTGAGGTACCTAATGCAGTTCGACGCATGCAGACTGGCGACCTCAGTACAATGTTATTGCTCAATGTCTTTCAAGCTGAGTGCGACGTTGAATTTTCAGATGCGCTTCATCAGGCATGTGGCCTTGGCATGGAAACATACCCTGAACGGGACGAGGATGGCACGGTTGTTGGACTACAAGAGGCGCAGATGAGGATGATCGTCACTCGTATGCAGTCAGGCCATGTAGGGGCTATTCTTATCCATCTCAGTGGGAAAACGTGGCTCGGAGTTGGACCTGACCAAGGGCGTACCCAAACGGAACCCTGGGGTATCCGACGTTTGCCTCCCCAACGCCGACAGAACTTTTCTGGTGACAACTCTCAAGTGAGGTCTGCGTGGAGACTACTGCAAGCAGGTACCATGGCCGGCGTTCCCGTGGCGGTCTTAGTGGAACGCAAGGCTTACGACAACATTCAGAACTTCATGCCAGACTTTGGGGCTATTGGTGCCCGAGTGGGCCATACCGAGATTGATACTTGTATGTTCGGCGCCACAGAAGCTAGAGAGATGATGATTATCCATACACATTGTGATTATGAGATAGAACTGCGTCATCATGGACCCGAACGTTGCTGTCACGTCTACCATGGACAACAGAGCCAAGTGGCTGAACTTCCACGGTCTGTTGGTGTACTGATTGGGCGGGCCTTCAGAAGGGCCCGTTTTTTCATGACTCTGTCGGCGAGTCTTCGCAGGAGCTTATAAGTTGTTTTTGGATGAGTGCGTAGGTGAGGGTGGATTTGTATCTGTGCTTTGCCCAGCCTGTAGGCTGTGAGGAGCCGCGCGAGGCTACCGCATGTTCTGTCGCCTAGGGCGACAATAACTTGGAGGAGGAGTTGTCTGAGTGGAGTCGGTGGAGGAGGAGTACTTGTATTCGTCCCCCTCCTTGGCGGCCCCTCGTGTACGAAGGTCTTACTCGTGCTCAGCGCTACTACGGAGTAGTTGAACTATCGAGGGGCCGACCAAGGGGGAGGCTGTGCGGCCTTCTGTAGGGGACGGGGAGGGCACGGGAGGCGCAAGTGGTAAGGCGGGTGAAACAAACCGTCGAGCGCCACCCCAAGCCTCCCCGTCCCCCAAAATTCGTGCTTTGAGCTGTCACTCGTCGTCCTGGCGGCGTGCTACCAGGGGCGAGCCTCTTCTTCCTTCTGTACCCAGTTCTGATGATACTCGTCGTCCTCTTCTCTCACTTGCTCCTGTTGTTGTCGTCAATCGACGGCTACAGTGCTGGCTCTGTGCCCGCCCGAGCACGTGTTTGGGTGGAGGGTGGGAACCTTCTGGAGGTATGGGTCGACGGGCACAGAGAGTGCATGTTCCTTGCTGCGTCTCAGGCGCGCTGTTGGCCTCGGAGAAGATCGAGGCACCTGTACCCTTGCATCGCTCGGTAGTCGGGTGCCGACTGCCGAGCACACTGACGCTTCAGCGGCTGGACCGCTCTGAGCTCGGCCAAGAAAAAAAAAGGAGGCGGAGGACATGCAGGGCGGCTGCGCAGCGGAGCGGAGGGCAGGGCCGCAGGGGCGAAGCACCTCGACTTCCCCGATCGCCCGCTCCTCGCCGATCGGGGCCTGGGTGCCCCACTCCGCCCAGGAGGGCGTTCGGTTCTCTCCGTTCGAGGGCGGAGCGACGCTCTCCCGGCGATGCATCGCCGATTCCGGGCAGCGGGCCGATCAAGGCACAGCTGCGCTCATTCAGGAGGGGAGAAAACACACAGACACAACTAATCGGCGATTCCCAGGAAGATATGGGGACATATGGGAAGTGGGGGGAAGACAGAACTCCCCAAAAATATGGGAAAATATAGGGAATGCTGTTATTTGTGTCTCTTGTTTTGGCCCCTTCACTCATAGCGTACGAACTTTTAGCTTCAGGAGGTGCTCTACACGCAGCTTTCTGTCTGCCCACGCGTTCTACAGGATGCACAGCTTACTTGACTTGGCTTGACTCGACTTGACTTGACTTGACTTGACTTGTCTCCCCCCAGAGGCACTTGCGAAGCGCACCGCTGCGGGCGCGGTCGACGCCGGGGCTCGGGCAACCCATACATGGGACTCGCTCAGGTACAGGCACCCCTCGAACACTGGCCCCCCCCCCGGCGTTTCGGAAGTTGGTGCCAGGAAGCTGGATGCACATGTGGCGGCCGGCCTGCGCGAGCGCTTGGTACACGTATGTGGCCTGACGTCTTTCCAGCTCTCGGGCGCTCTATAGCCGTGGTGCACCAGTCTTCCACATGCGCATGCAGCGTGTGGCCCTCCGAATGTTCGGGGTGCCCCCAAGCGATGCGGTGACCACACCCTGTTGTGAGTCGGTGGGGATTTGGGGTGACCGCACGGTTTTGGGACTTGGGTCGTTCTCCGAGGACGTCTCGGGCGGCTGGGGCTCCTAAGGTCCCACAGCCGTGCGGTGACGATTGTGGTGAGGTCTGTGGGGATTCTGAGGTCACCGTGCTGTCTGCCACCGCACCGTCTTGAGAACCTCAAGCGAGCAGCTGAAGAAAACGGGGTCGACTGCGCCGACATTCGCGCGTAAGCTGCCCTCACAAGGTCGCGCGTAAGCTTCCTCGTTTCCAATGTAGCCTCCGCGCTGGTGGCCCGCACAAGCCGCCGCGTAATGCCGCTTTGCCACCTTGCGTAAGACCCTGTTTTCCAACCATCCTGTGGTGTTGGCTCTTCGTTTTGAAGAGACAGCGCCACGCGTCCCCCCTCCTCTCGTCTCGTTCTCCTCGTCCTTCTCCTCCCTCCTCCTCCCAGCTCCTCCAACCATCATCCGGTCATCCCATCATCCTCATTGTCATCGTCATCGTCGTCATCATCATCATCACCATCATTCTTATCATTCTGTACCATCATGATCACCATCATCACCAATTACCATCATCATCACCATCAGCATCACCATCGTCGTCGTCGTAGTCGTCGTAATCATCATCATCATCACCACCATCATCATCATCATCACCACCATCATCATCATCATCATCATCATCATCATCATAGTCATCACCAGCATCATCATCGTCATCTTCATAGTCAGTATCTTCATTTTCAGGATTATCATCATTGTCAATATCATCATCGCCGAGATCATCGTTTTCCATGTATCATCATCATCAACATCATCATCATCAGCATCATGATCATCATCATCATCGTCAACATCATCATCATCATCATCATCATCATCATCATCATCATCATCATCATCATCATCATCATCATCACCATCGCCGTTATCGTCGCCATCATTGCTACTCGAGTTGGCACACCCCTCACACATTTCGTGGCCCCATAAGGGGCGCCACCGAAGGCCCCAGTGTTGTCCACATGCGTCCCCCCGCCCATGTTGGCACACCCCTCACACGCTTCGTGGCCACATAGGGAGCTCCACCGACGGCCCTAGTGGCAAAGTTCGCATGGCGGCCCCGCCCACGTTTCGGCACACCCTTCACACGCGTCGAGGCCCAAAAGGAAGCTCCACCGAAGGCCTCAGTTGGAAAGTTCGCATGGCGGCCCCGCCCCCATTGCGGCACACCCTCACACGCTTCGTGGTCCCATAGGGAGCTCCATCGAAGGCCACTGTGGTAAAGTTCGCGTGGTGGTCGCGCCTCCCTGTCGGCACCCCCCTCACATGTTTCGTGGCCCCATAGGGAGCTCCACCGAAGGCTACAGTGGCAAAGTTCGCATGGCGGCCCCGCCCCCATTTCGGCACACCCCTCAGATGTTTCGTGGCCCCATGGGGAGCTCCATCGAAGGCCCCATGGGCAGGGTCCGCATGGCGGCCCCGCACCCGATTCGGCACACGCTTTGCACGTTTCGTGGCCCCATGGGGAGCCCCACCGAAGGCACACGCGGCAGGGTCCGCATGGCAGCCCCGCAACGATGCGGCACACCCCTCACACGTTTCGTGGCCCCAGAGGGAGCCCCACCAAAGACGGCAGTCACAGCTGCGGTGCCCACAACCGCACATGGTTGGGTCCTTCGCCATGGCATTGGTTTTCGTCGCTCGAGTGTCCCACGGGCGAGACCACCCGTGCGCATCCCTCCAGCCTCCTGGCGGCTGCCCAGGGGCGGGGGCGGCCGGCCAGGCCATCCGCAGCAGCTCCTCCCGCAACCTCGGGCGGGGCGCCGAGGGCGGCGCGGCGAGCGCGGACGCGGGTTCCCCAGCGTGCTGGGAGATCGTCGTCGTCGTCGTCGTCGTCGTCGTCATCGTCGTCGTCTTCGCCGTCGTCGTCCCTCGAGGGTGGGGATGAGGAACAAGGGGGGGCGTGGGAGAGGATGGGGGGGAAGGGGGCGGAGGAGGAGGAGGAGGAGGAGGAGGAGGAGGGGAGGAGGAGGAGGAGGAGGAGGAGGAGGAGGAGGAGGAGGAGGAGGGGGAAGAGGATTACGAGGTGGTTATTGGATAGTCTGGGAGGTGTTCGGAGGCTTCGGAAGTTTCCAGAGGAGGAGGAGGAGGAGGAGGAGGAGGAGAGGAGAGGAGGAGGGAGGAGGAGGAGGAGGAGGAGGAAGAGGAACACAGGGGGGGAGAGGAGGAGGAGAGAGGAGGAGGAGGGAGGAGGAGGAGGAGGAGGAGGAGGAGGAAGAGGAGTAGGATGATGATGATGATGATGAGGAGCAGGAGGAGGAGATGGAGGAGGAGGAGGGGGGGAGGAGGGGGATGGGGGAGGCGGAGATGTGGAGCAGGCAGAGAATGCGCAGGACAACATAAGGACGATGAGAAGGATGATGAGAGGGACGATGAGAAGGATGAGGGGACGATGGGAAGGATGAGGCGGGAGAGGGAACAAGGGGACGCGGATCACGATGCTCAATCTGATGATAATGATCATGCTCACGGTGCAACTTCTGATGAGTACAGTGATTATGCTGATAGCGATGATGCGCATGATGATGGTGATGATGACGGCGACGAAATCGACGATGATGACACAACTGATGACGATCACGACGATGATTCTGTCGCTAATGATGAGGGGGGCATGAGGAATATGTGGAGGAGGGGGAGTAGGATCAACATCATCAGCACTGCGATCAGGATTGTTGATGATGGTAATGGCGGCGATACTGATGATGGTGATGACGACGCCAATGATGACGATGCTGCTGCTGCAGCTGCTGCTAACGACGATGACGGTGATGATGATGATGCTGGTAATGATGATGAGGCTGATGATGATGACGATGATGCTGATGATGGTGATGGTAAGGATGATCATACTGATGCGACTTATGATGATGATGCTGATGAAGATGATGACCATGATTCTGATGATGGTGATGATGATAATGCTGATGGCGATGATGCTAATGCTGGTTATGATGATGATGGCGACGGCGATTTCGACGATGCTGATGTTGCTGCTGATGATGCTGATGATGATACTGTCGATGATGCTGCTGCTGCTGACGATGCGGGTGATGATGCTGATGATGCTGATGCTGCTGATGATGCTGATGATGATGAGGATGACGCTGCTGCTGATGTTGATGCTGATGATGGTGGTCATGATTATGAGGATGATGATAATAATAATGATGATGGTTATGATGATGATGATGATGATGATGATGATGATGATGATGATGATGCTGCTGCTGCTGCTGGTAAACATGTAAACGCTACAGTAAAGTACTTCCGCATCTACACCCACGAATTTCATGCACGCTCCAAGGACCAGATTGGAGAAACGAAAGATCTTTGACTCTGCTGCCAAATGTGCTCCCCTGGCAGCCGGTGGTAATGCTACTGCTACTCTGCGATTTACGGTGACAGTATATTCGTCTACTATGAGATGAGCTTCCCAGTCCCCGTGTAGTTTTGTAAGTGTGGCAATATCCCATTTTTCTCACGCAGAAAGTCAAACAGGTAACGAGTCTTATCCAAATTGTCAACTCGTTGAAAGGCGAGGCCTGCCGTGTTGATGGTTCCGACAAGGAAAGGTTCTCCCGATTGTAGCACTCTCTGGTGATAATGCCGGTAACGATGGCGTAGTCGAGCTCTGTTGCGCCCGCGCGCTGGTGCCGCTGAAGTGAAACACGAGTGTTGTTGTCTGCCCTGAGACAGAGCAAGTGCATGTATGAGTGTACAACCGCTCGTTTTAGCCCACCTGCGAGAGGACAAACGAATACGTAAAGAATTATGTTGTGAACTATGCATCATTGTGTCGCTCATCATGTCTACTGCCGATCTGGAGACTAGGAACCCCGCGACGAGCAAGCTACGCTGCAAGTGGTCGAGGTAAGATCTCAGAACACAAGCCCCTCCGCGGAGGGGGGAGCCAAGCCAAGGCCCCAGTAATCGGTCACTATCAGCTTGCCCTGGAAAATACCGGAATACACCCCGAGACACCTGGCTCGTGATGATCAGCAGCCTGACCACTCACCCAGAAGAAAAACGGGATCTTCCTCTTCCTGATCCTGTTCTCTTGGCTCGTTTTGTCGATGAACGCGTCTCCCTGGACCTGTAAGAGTTTGATGCTCACCAGGGGGCCGCTTGCGCCCGCCGCCTTGCAACTTTCGAGTCGTGTGTCTGAGGACTCAGAGCGCGCGCGCGCTGGCGGGTCTGCAGACGAGTGCCGAGGTCGGCCTGGGGCTGCGCGGGCACCTGGCAAGCAAGCAGAGGCAGCTCGTTGAGGAGCTCGCCTCGCACCCGCGGGTCCCCGCCCCATCTCTCTCCGGGGCTCACGTAACGGGGCTCAGCGCAAACGTGGGTCAGCCAGACCGCCAGATCTTGCAGGATCCCAGAAGGCCGGAGCTCAGCTGAGCCGCGTTTGGGAGCCGCTCGCGGTCCCGTAGGTGGCCTTAGATGTTGGCTGAGCCGGGTTTGGGAAGCCCCCCTTCGAAAAATGCAGCGAAGTTTTGCTCAAGTGGCTGAGCCGGGTTTGCGCTGAGCTGGGTAAGTCCACACCCGATCTCTGTTTACTCTCATCCTGCACCTCCTTCTTTCCTCTCTTCTGCTTGCTTCTCTCTCCTCTCTTCGATCGTTTTCCTTGTGTTCCGTTTATAGTGTCCATTGGAAGTTCAATTCTCCTTTCCCCCCCCCTCTCTCCTGACAGCGTGCCAGCTTGGAGTCTTCCTACCGCGTATTGGTTTCGTAGCGGTTTTCGAGTTGTCTTGTTGCCTCTATGTTTGGTTGTTCGGATCATCTCCCGTGCTTCAGAGTTGTG